ATTATTAATTATAAAATATTGCTAATACTTAAATTTTACTGAGCAGCAGGTAAAGAACTATTTGAATTCACTCTTGTTCAGTAGTATAAAAAAGAGAATAAATTGTAAGAATATCCTAAATTAAGATTAGTTAAACATTATAGTTGTATTCCTATAAAAAGTATAAATAAAACTGTTCATATAGTTTCAAGATTTGATAAAATAAAAAATATTTAATGAACAGTTTTATGTTTTAATATATACTTGCATTGCATATATATTGAATATATATTACATTTATTATATATATGTTAAGGGTGTAGCAACTTAGTGAAGTAGATAAGTTGTCAACCCTCCAAGTGGTAGATAGTGAGTTCAAAACCTACTAATGATAAAAATTTGGATAATCTTTTATGTAATATATAGATGGTATTACAGTGACAGCATTTTGTTAATCAGTTGAGATAAGACACCTGTAACATAGTTATATCAGTATGACTAGCAGGTCATGGGGCATCTGCACAATGTTGAAGTTATACAGAAAAATGCAAACCAGCATCAGGTGGTGCAAACTTAAGATAAGTTCTCATGGTCATATAAATTTATAAACTAGGAAGCCAAAGTCCACTTGGGAAGACCTGAGTAGAGAGGTAGCATAGATCTTTAACAGTACCACTATAAAGGCTAGATATAGAAAATAGATACCAATGTGGAAAAAATTAAGTGAGTAAGAACCTTGAATGAAAGGTGCCACCAACCAGGCTGCTGAAAGTCTTGAACTAGAGAAAAAAACCTTGAAAGGCAAATCCTAAAGTACCAGGGACAAGTCATAGTTCTATCAAATTATTTGGATTGAGAGTCTAAGTTCAAAAACAGGAGTATACTATAAGTACTAGAGATATGTTATGAAGTCGATGCTAGGGTCTGGGTGAACTTTGCAAGAGTAAGCTCTGTTAATAAGGACTAAATATGAGTAGTTAGTTAGCAAGAGGGCACTCTTCAGTCTTACAATCAGGTGATATACTCTAAAATCTGTAACAGCTTGATGAACATACAGAAAGGAAGATTAAGGTTAGGTTAGACAGCATTTAATATAGATGTATAGGAACTTGTGCACTATTTGTCAGTATAGTATAGGGATCAGAGTGTTTAAAATAGGTAATCTCTTAGTAAATTGCAAGTATGGCAGCTAGTGTAGAACCTGCTATATAGGCAGACTACTTAAATTATCAGTTTTGTATACCAAATTCGGACACTGTTGCAATCAAATTCAGACATTGTTGCAATCAAATTTGGACATTGTTGCAATCAAATTCAGACATTATAGCAATCAAATTTGGACATTGTAACAATCAAATTCAGACATTAAAGCAATCAAATTCAAACATTATAGCAATCAAATTCAGACATCAGTAAAATTAAATTCGGATGCTATAGCAATCAAATTCAGACACTATAGTGATCAAATTTGGACACTATAATGATCAAATTCAGACATTATAGTGATCAAATTTAGACATCATTGCAATCAAATTCAGACATCTATTGCAATCAAATTCAGATATTATGATGTCTGAACTTGATTGTGATAGATGTCCGAATTTGATTGTGATGATGTCTGAATTTGATTGTGATGATGTTCAAATTTGATTGCTATAATGTCTGAATTTGATAGCTATAGTATCTGAATTTGATTGCTATGGTGTCTGAATTTGATTTTACTGATATCTAAATTTGATTACTATAATGTCTGAATTTGATTGCTTTAATGTCTGAATTTGATTGCTACAATGTTCAAATTTGATTGCTATAATGTCTGAATTGATTGCAACAATGTCCAAATTTGATTGCAACAATGTTCAAATTTGATTGCAACAGTGTCCAAATTTGGTATACAAAACCGATAAACAACCAAAAGTTGTATGAGTAGCTAGTTGTATACTTACCTTTTACAAGTTATGTAATCATAATTAAAAATACAATAAAGGCAGTAGCCACTGATAATCATTGCCTTAGTGAAAGCAAAAATATATATATATATATATATATATATGCTATTTACTTTAATCATTACAGATCGATTTAAACTGATCAATGATAATTGATCATCTGATATATGAAGTCTTTGCCTTGAAAATCAAGTTTGAATCATATGATTTACTATGTTCTATAAGATTATTTTCAAGGCAAATACTATATAATGAAATGTATCATAGTTTAATATTTATTAAATAATGATATATATCAGTATGTATTGAAATTTTTTTTTTTTTGCTTTTACTAAGGCTATTAGTTATTGGTAGCTACTGTCTTTATTGTAAATTCAATTATGATTATATAACTTGTATAAGGTTACTTCTAGCAGATATTATACAAGTTCCTATATACCTAATTAGATACTATCTAATCTAATTCTGATCTTCCTGTCTGTATATCCATCAAGCCATTACATATTTCAGAGTACATCATCTAACTGTAAGGCTCCAGAAGGCCCTCCTGCTAACTAATTACCTATATTTAATTTTTGCTAACAGAACTTATCCTTGTAAAGTTCACTCAAACCCTAATACTAACTTTACAACATATTCCTAGTACTTGTAGTATATCTCTGCTTCCAGTCTTAGACTTCTAATTCAGATAGCCTAATAGAACTATATCTTGTTTCTGGTACTCCAGGATCTGTCTCCAAGATTCTTTTCCTCTGGTTTGAGACTTCAGATGGCCTAGTTGGTAGTATTTTTTATCCAAGATTTTTGTTTGTTTGATTCCTTTCACATTAGTATTTATTTTTTAGATCTAGTCTTTATAGTATTACTGTTAAAGATCTATACTACCTTTCTACTTGGATCTTCTCAAGTAGGCTCTGGCTTTTTAGTTCACAGATTTATACAGCCATGAGGACTTATTTTATATTTGCATTACCTAATGCTAGTTTGCATTTCTCTATATACTTTCAACATTGCGCAGATGTTCTATAACCTGCCAGTTATGCTGGTATGATCATGTTATAGGTATCTTATCCTAACTGATCAACAGAATGCTGTCACTATAATACTGTTTATATATTATATAGATAATTATTTAAATTTTTACTATCAGTAGGATTTGAACTTACTATCTATCACTTGAGAGGTTGACAACTTATCTACTTTATTAAGTTGCCACACCCTCTAGTATATAATAAATTAATCAATATATATTAATATTTTTTAATCGATATATATCAATTTATTGCTATATATCAATTTATTTCTTTTTAAAAAATTTTCTGATGAAAGAGGTTACTTTAATCTTAAAAAAAAAATTATCTATATTACATATTATACTAGTACTTTTTAAAATTTTTTTTTTTAGTATTAAGGTGATCTCTTTAATCTTTTAACTTTTATTAACAACTTTTTTGATAATGTAATTTTATAAACCATTACAGAAAAATGTACAATTGACTATACATGTAATTTTTCTATATTATTTATTTAAAAAGTTTATCCAAAAATTCTTTACTAATTGTCATATTTAACACCTTTACTTTAGTATTCTACTTTAAACCTTCTGAATCTGCAAATTGCATTAATATTACTGAGTCATATCCAGATATTTAGATTATTATTTTAATCTTAAGATTTTTTTTATTTTTAAAATAGTTCTTTAGAACTTTTTGTATCTATTTTTATAATTAATCTAGATATTGCTATAACAGAACCAATACTTGCAAACAGAATTATATCATGTTCTTATAAAATTCATACAAATTCCAATATATACTTCATAATATAATTCTAGTACTTTAGTATACTTTTGACTTTTTATCTTTTTTTTATTAGACTTCTAATTTAGATAACTCATATAAAACTATAACCAGTTTATTGATATATTAAGTTAGTCTAATATTCTTTTTCTTTGATTTGTTCTGATAACCTATTAGTAATATCTTTAAAATTTTTAATCTAAAAATTCTTGTTTGTTTGAATACTATAACCAAATATTATAATCTTGATATTTATTTTTTTGAACTAATCTTACAATAAGACTGTCAAAGATCTAATTACTTTTTTATTTAGATTTTTTCAAATGAACTTTTTGTTACTTAATTTTAACAGATTTATATAACTACAAAAACTTATCTAATATTTGTATTATTCAATTTGTTAGTTTGCATTCCTCTGTGTAATTAGTTACACAGATATCCCATGACCTGCCAATCATGTTGGCATAACTACCATTACAAGTATTTTAACCCAATTGTTAATAACAGTTGCTGTAATATAAATATTAAATAATAATTATTCAAATTTTCATTGTTAATAAAATTTGAACACCCAACCTACCACTTTAAAGGTTGACAACTTGACCACTTCACTAGATCGCCATACCCTTTTTTTAAAATATTTATAAGAAATTTTTTTACTAATTCAGAAATGTGTTTTCCTAAAAACAAAAATTTGTCACTACTTACAATCAAACAAGCACATAAAACAGCACCTAAAAATCTACTTGTAATGAAAAAAATCATAATATATGTACATGTAACCAAAAACATAATCAAAAAATAAAAAATTGTGAAAGCGATAATTTGATTCAATGTAATGTGTAAAATACAGAGCAACTACGAAATTTGAATAATTGTGGCGTAGCAATACTTGGGCCCTTATTTATAATATTTAAAATTTTGGGCCAGTATAAATAAATATTTCACTTTGGGCCCGTGTTTATAATTATTTTCGTTTTTGGGCCCTTATTTGTAAATTCCCAAAAAATAAATATATCGATATGTCTTAATAATAGTCGTAACGTTAATAATACGAGGGCAGAAAAAAATGCTAAGCCTCATCAATCGAAATTCTAGAAACTTCGGTATCAAAGGAAAAAAAATTCATCCCTTTATTTGCCATTTAACTGTCAAGCCACCAATCATGCTCAACTTATTTTAAACGGTATGTATTTATAGATGTCGCAAACATGACCATCAAGTCGCTACGACTTATTTTCGAAAACCAGTAATTTAAAATAGAAACCCTTTTATGGATTCACAACGTTGTCATCATTGCGGTTCCATAGGACACAAAAAATTTGATTGTACCGAGAGATGTCGTGTTGGGTGCAAGTGGTGTGATTCTCCTCCAACTCGCAGACCACCTGCTGTTTCAAAAATTAGTTTGGATAATCAACAGAGACAAAATGGTTTAAATTCTCAACGAAATCTTGGAACGTTATCAGGTATGTAATAAACTTCAAGGGGAAGCAACGAACCATCTGTGACTTCGAAATTTAAAAAGTTTAAAGAAAGTGGGCATCGTTATAACTTGGTTCTTGTCGCTGCATTAGCCTTGAGTGATACTTGGCCTACTTTGTGAAATTTTAAATAGTTCTTGAACCCTGTTGTATTGAACCTGTCCAAATTAGGCGGTAGTGGTGGACAAGCCAATTGTGTACAAATAGGCCAAAGTGTGCCTCAAATAGGTCCTGCTGGTATACCACTCGGTCCGACAAACGTGCAATTAGGTACTAGTGGTTTATCACATGGTCAAAATGCTCTCCAAATGAATGGAACGAATGTTCCATTGGGTAGACCCCAGAATGTCGGTCCTCTTCTACCGTCGATTTTAAATCCTTCATTAAGGCCTTTAGCACCGCAACCTTTAGGACCTGGATGGCCTCTAATACAACAGCAAGCACAGCAACCATCGCTTTTTGCGCCACATCAAGTTTCTTCACAACAAACTTTTTTTTTCCAGCAACCTACTACAAATATGAATTTCGTACAAAATACTCAACCTGTTTCTCAATTTCCACAATCACAAGTTCAACTTATAAATTCTGATAATTCATCGATCCAAACAATGCCTACAGTTTCACTTTCTCAACAATTTGTTCCTAACAACTGGAATAATTTAAATAATTTGTCTATACAGCAATCTCGTGTAGTTCCATATAATGGAATGCAAATGGACCAACAAATTACAAGACTTTCCGGACAGCAAACTTCTGACCTTAATAAACTACTTGCTCCAAAGTTCAATCAACTTCAATTTCCAACTTCAACTTCTGATAATGCAAATCAACCTTCAACTTCATCGACGGATCAATTACAAACTTCCGTAGCACAACCTTCTTGTTTAGATACTAAGTTTTCCCATGATAATTCACGTACTGAGAAACAAAGCAATAAAGATTCTACTGATAGAGAATCAAGGGATCTTGGAGACACGTCTGCTGAGATAAATAATAAATTGCAGAGATTGAAAAATCAAATAGAACTTGGCATTCACTCAAAAGTTAGACCTCCAAAATGGGTTAGCGCTTCAATTGATCAATTACCATTTAATAATTTAGTACAGAATAATAAGCAAAGCTCTAATATAAGTAATGGCAAAGATTTGGTAAAAAATTTAAATGGGGATCGTAATATAGTGATCACTAGAGAAAATGGTCAACTAGATCATTTCGTGGAAGTTAAAATGGAAGATACTGGAATAATGCCAAATTTGAAAAGTCCCATGCTGAATGATATATCTATGCCCTCAAATATAATGTCTGCTGAAACGTCTCCTGATCATATATTTAGAGCACGAAGAGATAAGTCTCCAAATAGACCTTTAAAAGATGTTTCCATGCGTGAGAGAGCGAATTCTCATCCTTTAACTTCTTCAATTGGAAATGAGTCTCAAAAGTTCGAAAGGGATCGTGTTATTGCACCTTTTCAACGTAATAAAAGTAGGTCTCTTAGCCCTATACGAGATGCCCGTGAATATGTTCGTGATTATCGCGAATATACTAGGTCAACTTCTCCTGGCAAATATTATGTTCGTTCTGCATCAAGTTATGATGATCGTTATCATTCTCGGCATCCTGGACATGAATATCGTGATAAATATTACATACGTCCTTCGGGAACTGATTATTCTGAAAAATACTATCCCCGTTCAATGTCTTTAGCTCCATATGATGAATATTATTCTAGATATAGTAGCGATAAGCACGAAGATAGAGGGCATTCATATAGAGATTATGATCGTGAGCAAATTTTAGTTCGACCACGATCTCGATCACCTTCAGTGTATCATCAGAGAACTCCTTATGATGATTATTCACGGAGAATAAATAGTACTAATGGATGGTACGGTGATGACCCATATAATAGAGATTATCAAGTCCGATCTGGTGCGTATTACGATTTAGTTCGAGATGAGCGTTATGAGCATCGTGATCGTGCGTACAGTGCTCGCCCTGAAGGCGAAAGAGGTTATGGGGAAAGAGAGTACGTAAGGCCTACGGATTATGAATATCCGTCACGTAGGCGACCCGTGGATCGCTGGTGATCTTTTACTACTTTAAAAATTTGAACATTTAGTTTATGTCAAATATGATTTAATAGTTTTCCAATGGATCCTTTTGCTAAAATCCGAAAATTAATCGATGTTTCTGTTCTTAGATCTGCAAAACATTGAAATGACTTTATCTGAATAATTTATCTGATTTCTGTTGCTAGAAATTTGGATGATGACTTTAGGAGGATGACGCGGACAATTCGTTAAAAAATTTTGTATGTGTAATTGTGTCTTGTTTTATTTTCAAAAAAAAAAGAATCCTGAATTTAGAAATAAAATATAATGGAATTAAAATTATTCGAATCTTGTTTTCAATGAATTTGACTGGCAAATATAATATTTAACAAAGATCTCTTTTTTAGCATATGCGTTATGGGCTTCTCGTTTATAAACAAAATACAGCACAATATTTAGATTTTAGAAGGCAATTTCTATTTGAACACTAGTGTAAGAAATTCAAATGTTGCTTATAACCCTATACGTTAAAGCCAAGTACAAGTTAGGGTTATTTGGTTGTAACGAACTTCTGTGGCATTTAACAAATATTTTTGCATAATTATGGTGTAAAACCAACCTAGTTTAATTTTTGCCTTTATTACGTTGATCCCAAATTATATTCGTATATATGTCGTTCCTGAAGTTGAATTTGACTAAAATTAACCCTTAAATTAGATCATGCAGAGTTGTTTTATCAAATAAATATTTAATATAAAAATTATTTATCAAATAATTTAAAAATTTTGGCATTTTTGTTAGTTAACATTTATTTGTTTTTAATATTAAAGGTGAGGTTATGACATTTATTTGTTTAAATATTATTTATATAAATTTATACAAGATTTATTTTAAAGCCAAAGTTCAAACAGTATGTTTGCATTATTTTGCATACTATAGTTAAGATTAGCACTTGTAGTTAGGGTACTTTTTATTTAAAAGACATTGCTATTAAATTGTTTTGGTTAGTAAAAAGATTTAAGATCTACTATTTGCATTAACTTGAATTTTTTTTTTTCTTTTAAACAATCATGTTAAATTCTTGAAATGAAGATAGTAATTCTAATGTAGTAGTTGGGTTGTTATTCTTCAAGTAACAAATCTAAGGTTTAAATTTCACTTATGATAAAATTTGAAAATTAATTTGTATTACAATAACTGTTTTCTGTTAATTAGTTGGTCTTATGTGATTGTAATTCAGGTACATCAAGTCAGATTTTATTTATTATTGAGAGCTTGAGGCATTTATGTAAGTGTAATGTTATATATATATAAAAGAATTTTCTAACTGGTATTATGTAAGACTTTAATTTTTTTTTTTTTTAATATTAAGGTGAGTACTTATGACCTAGGATTTTATTGATAGTACATTCAGCTAATGGTTGCATTACAACCACAAGGAGCAACTATGAAAAGAGTGTACAATTAGTCATTTGTACAACTTTAGTCATTGTCTAATTTAAGTAGTCCACCCAAAAGTTCTATACTAGTTGTTATACCTGGAACCCACTTATAGGTTCCTTATTTAACCACTCTGTTCCCATATCTACCTACTTATCTACACCTACCAAGATGTCCTGATCGATACCGGTTCAAAT